CTCCCACCAAAAAACCCTCCACACTGCTAATTGACTGCTTTTGGGTGAGCACATTATGTCCTGCTCCTCTTTGCACCGGGAAATCCTCTTGGATATCTGCTGTGGTTTGATCCCAAGCTGTGCACGCAATCCTCAGTTCTGGTGCGATGCTGCCCCATCCTTCGGTGCTCTGTGTGTCTGGCCATGCTGCCAGCTGGCTGCTGGCCCATCTTGCCACACTTGCACAGAGCATCTCACACCCTCAATGTGCCCACGCTCCCGTGGGGCATCCTGTGCCACCCAGTCCCATTGGACACAACAAAACCCAGAGAAGCTCCAAAGACAAGCACCACTCATCCCATTTGACCCAGACACAAATTCTCTCAGTCACAGGCTTTCTCCAGGGACAAAAAGTGACACTGCCTGCAAGGAACCAGGACACAGTGCTCCAAGTGTGCTTCTAATATTCCAGTCCTCATGCACATCCCAGCCTGTCTTTTTGGGATCAAAGCAGTTCCTTCCGGAAACAGCACATGTGTCCTAAATCAGCCACAGTTCTGCAGTTCAGGATGGGGCTCACACCAAAGCCTCCTCCTGCTGCTCCATCCTCATCCCCATCCCCTGGCTGGTTTTATTCTCCTTGTGCAGAGTGGACTTGATCATAATTTCTGGGAAGAGACATTGCTGTGGTTAAACTGCCTAAACACAAGTGTGGGAATCCAGAGCCGGGCTGGCTTTGAACTTGGCTTTATTGGATCTCTGGGATGCCTTCAGAGCGATCTGCAGTGTTATCTTCCTCTTTGCAGGATAAGGGCGCTGGGGCAGAGTGGAAGGAGGGCTGCACATCAGGGTGGAGGGAGTTGCACATCTGGTACATTCAGTACTTCCTAAAAGTCCCTGCCACGTTACCCTTTGGACAAGGGCTTGGGGCTTGCTGCACAGCAGATCAGGATCTGCAGCTGCATTCCTTTTGAAGGGAAAGCAAAAATATCCTCTCAGCAGAGTCCCAGCTCCCTGTAACATCCAGCGTGGGAGCAGGGGGACTGCACGGAGACCATGACCTTTCTGCAAGTCATTCCGGCAGCTGCAGAGGCTCCTGTTGCCAGCCAAGGCACAGAGCAGCAGCTTGGGAATGCCTCCCTGGGGACCACAGGCATGGACCTCCCCAGCAAAACCTCGTCCTTCTGCCAGCCAGAGTGGGCTCGGGCCAGCATAAGGGGGTGGCTTGTGCCACCCATGGCCAAGGAGATGCTCGACACACATCCTCGCCCATGGGGACTGGCTCCATGAAGGTCCCAGCACTGACGGGTCATTCCTGCAGAGGGGCACGGTGCCAGTCACCCGCTCGAGGGATGTCACTGCCCGTCACCAGTGTCACGCACACACACACAGAAGTCCACTCCCTTTCCAGCAGCATCGCACCAGTGGCTGGAAGCACCGGACATCCCAGTGCCGCCCCCATCCCGGCGGGGCTGCGGATGCATCCATGAAAAGCTGGGCAATAGGGACATCTAGTGACCATCGGAGGGTGCCCAGGGCCGGGGCTCGGCTACCCCCGGGGCGGGGGCTGCAGCCAGCCAGGGCTGGGGGAGATGCTTTCCATCCCTGTGGCCAAGGAGAAAATGGGATTAAGCATTCATCCCTGCCACACCACGCAGAGATCCCCCAGAAACTCTGACTCTGCCCGTACTGGAGGCAGGAGATTACCCTTGCTAATGCATAAACTGGGAATTAATATAATTTAAAGCGACTAGCATGGATACAATAACAAATGCTGGAATAACAGCTCAAAGAGAGTATGAAATGTAAAGAGTCTCCCCAGTGAAAGTCACTTTCCCTTAGGGGAAATGGTCTATTTTTTTCAGCCTTAGTCTGTACTAGATTTCCAAATACAGTCTAGGGGCAAAAAATGCACAAAACAATAATCCAAACAATTTGGGGAGCACGACACGGATATGCATGGGGAGTGGGGACCTTCAGCTGAGGCCAAAGGGCTGAGTACAGACCTCAACTGGCCCCTCTCTGATGGAGACCCCCACACGCCAGGGGCAGGAGGAGGCATTGGACCAACACCTTCCAGTCAAAGTCAAACATCCCCCTAAATAACTCATTCCTAAAGAGTTTGACTGAGTTGGTTGCTTCCAGAAATGTTAAATCATTCTGGCTGGATAACATTGTATTGTTTTGGGAGAGAAAAGCAATGTACTAAAGCTATTCTGTTGATTAACTGGGACATACACCTTGTTCTGAACAGTCACTGTAATACTAGAGATTTTTTCCCAATGGCATGGCTGTGGATGCATCATCACAGTATTTTAAGTTCTTCTAAAATGGAAAGCCAAGACCTATCACAAATCAAAGTAAAACATTGAGGCTCCTTCCGAAGAAAATAGCAAATCTCCTTTTGAGTCATCCCAAGGAAATCAAAGCTGAGTTTGATACATTTGTTGTGATTTTGTTGTTATCCTTGTTGATATCAACATGCTCCCAGGAGATGCTGCAATGGTTTCAACACCTTTTTCTCCAAACCTCGCTCAAGCCCAGATGATGATGGATAAGTGATTCCCACATAACACTGCAGTTTCATTTTTTATTTTTTTTTCCTTTTCCAGTTTGCAAAATAAGCTTGGCAATGTGACCCCCACAAAGAAAAGCTGTGAAGGCAAAGGGAATGCCAGGACAAGGGATGCTTCAGGTTGTCCTGTGCAGTGTCAGGAGCTAAACTCAATGATCCTTGTGGATCCCTTCCAGCTGAAGACATTCTAGGATTCTATGACTGTGCAGTGCTCCTGTGAGGTGACCCAGGTGACTGCTACTGCTTGGACTGTCCCTTGTTCCCCTGTGGCCATATCCAGCATTCCCTGGAGCACTCCCATAAGCACACATCCTTGTGGCAGCACAAGCCTTGGACACAACATCTCAGACACCTGCCTGACGCCAGAGCGATACTCACATCCAGCCTCTTCTGCCACTGATTCCTGGGGTGACTTTCCTGCAGCCTGGCTGGGTGATGGATGCCTGGCAGCAGGTTTGGATGGGGACAGTACCCAGAGGGGATCTTATCTGTAGGTTCGCTGGCATGGGGATGGGTGCAGAGGTATTGCTGCAGTCTGCTCCCCCTCTCCAGCAGCCTCTGAGCTCAGCTGCATCTGGCAGACCCAACCTGGCATTTGCTATTTTCGGCAGCACTCTCTCAGTGGAGGTGGGGAAGGGCACAGGGAGCACACACAGAGCAGAGGAATTCAGGGCAGCCGTGATCTGCAGGCACTGTGCAAAGCCATTTCCATGTCCACGATGCTGTCACGCTCCCTGGCCTTCCCCAGGTGTCCTTGTTGGCCTGGGATGGATTTCTCAGTCTTGGTCAACATGATTCTGCTGCTGCTGTGCCTCCATATTCTCGTCGAGAAGAAGCTCTCCTCATGCTCCAGCATGTCCTGCAGTCCCACAGAGGAGCTAAGAATGGCAGGGTGGGCTGGCTTCCCCCATACACGATCCCTCTCCAAGGGCACAGCACTCCAGGCTGCTGTGGAGGGTGGTGACAGTGGAACGTGAAGCTTTTGCCGTGGCTCACCCCCCAGGCCACTGGAGTTGTTATTTTCATGGGATCTCAAACACAGATATTTTATTCTTCCAACAGATAAAACACTTGTTCTAAAGCAGAATGAGGAACAGGAGAAGATGAGTGCCCCTTGCCAACAACTGACTTGGCAGGTGATTCTGTGCTTTGCTGGCCAGTTGGCGACTTGGAGTGCCTGCCTCCCTGTTGGGTGCCTGCCTCCCTCCATCCTCAGCATCAGCACAAATACATGGGGCAGGTGACAGCAAAGGCTGCTGGCTCCACCTGAGCCCCTCAGCACTCCACACAGCACCTGTGCTACTCTGGATGGAGAACCAGGGGATGCTCTTGAGCCTGTGTGACTGCTGCACCACCCAAAAGGCACAGTAGAACCCAAAGTGCCAAGGAGAGCAGGGCAAGGGGTTGGAGACAGCAGCAAAGCACCTTATGGAGGATCTGGGAGCACCTTTAAACCACAGAAGCTTGGAGTGCTTTGGAGAGTTGAGCATGCAAGGTTTCGGGACACCTGGGCAGAGCAAACCCTGATGCTCAGCGGCACCACCTTCACCTTTCCGGGCCCCTGGGCTGTGCTCTCATCCCCACCAGCTCCCTGCTGGAGCCCACAACCCCCTGCCCATCCGTGACTCCACTGGTGCCTGGGATCCCTGACACAGCCTGTGTGAGCGCTGAGCAAGGCAGTGCTGGAGACAGGAGGAGAAGTGGCCCAGCATCCTGGCAGGAGAAGGGTGGGAAAACTGCCAGTGGTGCCTGCTGGTACCGAGGGTCAAAGAGAGGGAAAGGCCCAAGAAGTCTTGGGGCTCATCTCGAGAAACAATATATTTCCCACGTGGTACAGTGCAAAAATGTACTGTGTGGCTGCTTCAGCTGTCTGGGGACATGCTGCATCATGGTCCCCTCATTTGCAATCTGGGGAAAGGGATAGTCAGGAATTAACAGAGGAAAAACGCACGATTCCCTGTTGGAAAGGCAGGAGAGAGAAGAAAAGCCTGGAAGCAGAAGGCAGGGCTGGGCAGAGAGAGGGTCTTGGGAAAGGGTGTGGGACACACACATGGCAGATCCGTCCAGACAAGGGGGCAGTGAGAGATGATGGTTGTCACACCGTAATTTATAAATTAATCCCAGGGAAAACCAAAGGATTATGCAAACCAAATACTCAGTCCTTGGAAAAAATAAAAGAAAAAACAGAAAGCATGGAATCACTCAGGAAGTGCATTGGAAGTATATTTCTCTATAAAAATGAAACAAAAAAAAATGTATGATGCTGATAATAGATAATAATAGTAATACCAGTAATAATAATGATGATAATAAAAAAATGGAGAACTCTTGCATAAAACCTCCAACTTCCCTCCAAGTTGCTAAAAAGGTGTGGAAGGATGCAGAGGGAAGGATGGGGCTGGCATTGTTGGGGCGACCCGGGAGAAGAACAGTCGGAGCCCATCAGTACCAGAGCTGCACAGACATTTATTGAACACAAACAACAAATACAGCTGGCTCACAGAGCTTCCTGAGGTTTTGCTTGTGGGGGACTGACAAAAGAGTGCTTTCAAAGACCCTGGGGGTGTGAATCCCTTACAGCTGAGTTCTTCCCACTTCCAGGTGCTTGTTAGTTTAAAAAAAAAAAAAAAAAAAAAGAGCATTTCTGTGTATCTGTGTGTGTGTGATTCCCTTAGTTTAGTAGGAAAATGGGCTTGTCTGGACCATGCCATGTTCCAAGAGTGAAGCCTGCGGGTTGAACCCTTACTTGGCTTCTGATTCCCAAATAACACGGGGTGAAAAGTATGCCCTTACCCTAAGGGCAGGGGCCTGAGGTGGTGAAGGTGAGCCAGGACAAGCAAGGGGAAGCACCAAAGGAAGGAGGGTGAGAAAAATTAAGTCATCTGAAACACACACAGCTCTGGGTGGCATCATTATGTCCATATGCTACAGAATGTACTGGCAATGTCAACTCAAACGTATAGGTAGCTATGGTAGACTGACACTAGAGACCCCGCTAGCTCCTGAAGTCTTGCCAGTGAGAGAAAAAAAACAACAAAACCAACGCTCCCCTCCCCCCTCCCTTGTCCCCAAAAAGCAGATGAAGAATTAACATCCTAACGCTGAAAACAAGGACCATAACCAAAGAGTTTGGGAGCAGATTCAGGAGCACAGAGTAAAGAGCTTGTAAAGAAACGTTCCAGTGTGTGCATATGCGCCTGTTTATATTTGTTAGTAAAACAAAGAGTATCTGTGGAGGCAAAGGGAAGACGGTAAATGTACAGGCAGTACAGGCTGGGTGGAGTGCCGGTGGCTGGAGAGGGTCGGGTGGTGCGGAGTGGAGGATGGTGGGTGGAAATTAGAGTGCGCCCATTCCAGTGACCTCAGACGTCAGCCTAGAATAGACAGGGGCAGAGAGAGGGGTGGGGGGGAGACAAAAAAACAAGAGCTTAATCACTGGAGCAGAAAAGAAAATGAAGACCAGTGGGGCAATGCTCCTCCTCTTGCCCAGATCCCGCGTACACTGAGTGGGCAGAGCATCACTGGGTGGCCTGGCGGTCCCCCGAGGAGGGCATGGGGGGCTGGAGCAGAGAGTCAGCGCAATGGCTGGCTGCCTTCCCCTCTCCTTACTGTGGCCAGGTTGTGGCAGGGGTGTCACCCACCAGAGGTGCTGGCAGGAGTCATCCCAGAGCACAGCTTCTTTTTCAGCAGCATCCCTCCCACGGGATGCTGTGCTAGCTCCCCTGGCTGCTTTGTTTTGCTCTGGTTTGGAAACTATCGGAGAGGCAGAGACCCATCCTGCCACCGAGTCACCTCTGCACAGGGGCAGCTCAGCCAGCCCTTCCCAGCAACTGAGCCACTTCTTTTTCTTTTCTTTCTCTCTCTTGTCTCAGGGAGTGGGGGGGGATTGGCAAGGATCTGCAGCGCAGCCACTCAGCCATGCCAGCAGGTGGGGGCTGGCCCCGTCCCTCACCCAAGCAGGGGGTGAGGTGCCACGGGCATGGGCAGCAGGGTAGCAGGGCAGGATGGGATGGCCAGGGTCAGCTGTGGGTCGAGGCTTGGGTGGGTTGGGTGCAAGGAGGAGAAAGCACATACAGACCTCATTGGTGCTTCCAGCCCACACCCCAACCAGTGTAAGTCACCGCCAGCAGCCCCCTGTCCTCGAGGCCCTGCCAGCAGCCTCCCTCCTTTGCGCATCCAGGGCTGGTGGCAGGTTGGCACGGCATCAATCCTGCCCAGGCGGATGGGCCCATTTGAATGGCTCTGCCAGGTGGGTGCAAAGCTACCGGAAAAGTCCTGTATCCCCTTAAACTCACTCCCCGAGAGTCCACAGACACAGGCGAACAGGTCTGAGTGAGCACCCTGGACACAGCTCACTGCCTGCATGCAGCAGGTCCCCAGATCATCTCTGCAGCTGTGCCTCCCCTGCATGCCCCCTTGCAGGCCCATGCCGGCCCCCAGCCCCCATAGCATGGGCTACGTCTCTCCCCAGACAGCAGCAGTGCTTGGAACCCTTGGTCCCTGTGAAGTCCTGCTATGCCAAGCTTTTCATGATGAAAAGGAAGCAGTCAGGCTGTTCCCATGAGTTACATTTATTGGACTGATTGTTTTCACTGAATGGAGGAAGGCCTGTTGGAGGCATGGAAGTACACAGAAGAGGCAGTAAGCGATGCTGGGATCCCAGCAAGCAGGCCCCAAGTGACGCCTCCCCTGCCAGTGGCTCAGATCTGTTCCTGTCCCCGTCCCCTGCCTCATCCACACGAAAAACAGTGGCAACTTTGCCCACCTGTGAGCAAAATCCTTGAGCGAGGGTGGAGCGAAGGCAGGCACCCAGCGCAACCTGCGGCCACTCCGCCAGCAGCGTGGTGGCTCCCAGTCCCCAGCCAAAGTGCCAGCCTGAGGCCAGATGTCCTGCTGGCGATGTCTGGTCCCTGCTCAGAGGTCTCAGCAAGACACCGTCCATCCCAGCTGGCCACGGGAAGCCCTTGCTGGCCCATGGCACTGGGAGAGCGGGTTGCTCCCAGCATGCTGGCGGGGCAGGATTGGCCGTGGTGGGACTGGATCGGCTGTGGTGGGAGGTGGTGGAGGTCAGCAGGGGTCTCACCTGGCATTGATGAGGTACTGCGCAAGGCTGATGTTTGCAGGGGTTCCTGTGATGGTAATCTGGCGCTCCGATGAGCCTTCCGTGGCGTTCGCGATTTTGATCTGCGCTCCTGACATCTGCCGAATTTCATTGATTTTGGTCCCTTGGCGTCCAATTATGCAGCCTATTAGCTAGGAAAGAAAGCACGGAAGGAATGTCTGAGAAGCAGCAGCTCTGGCAGTCACCAGCTCACAGGATGTGAGCACACCTGGGACAAGAGTGACCTTAATGCTCATGAAAACAGGAGAGGGACAGCCCAGGGTGATTCCTACCAGCACGTGAGCATGGTCCTCCAAGGACACAGCCAGACCCCTGCTCTGCTCCTTGTGGGGAAGAATCTCCATTATCTGCACATGGTGCTCAGCACCTCAGAGGGCTTCAAGGAGGGCTCATTTCGGTAAGAATAATTTTCATAGTTTAATGAATGGACAATGTTTTGCAAGTATTTATCCCCTTGCCAGTCACAGCAAACCCAAAGGTGGTTTGGACACATTACTAGAAGGAAACAAGCCTGCTGCTGTCTCTGGGGAAAGGCCAGCCCCAGGAGCCTCCTCATCACCTGGTGCAGTGACCCCATCCCACATTTCTTTGATGCCACTGGGACGCCCTCAGTGCCTCTGCTACCCCCTCTAGCTCTTCTGGTGCAATCCAGTGGCTTGCCAGCAGGCACAAGAGAACACCATACAGCTGTGACACCCATAGAAAAGGTGGACTCTATGTAAAAATGCACCTTTCATACTCTTCTGAAAAAACTGGAGCCAGATGGAGACTTGAATTTCCTCAATGATCCTCAGTGGCTTGAATTTCTTCAATGGTCTTTGCTCGTTTGTGCATCTCCCTCAAAGCATCTCCAAAGCTTGGTAACACATACCAAGCTTGACCAACACAGGCATGAAGTGCTCTGTATGCCCTTTTTGGCCATTTAAGCTCTTTTCCAAGAGCATTTTATACACAGAACGTTCATCTTGGCAGCTGCTGGATTTCTGCACAGATGAATACTCCTCCAAAGATGATTACTCCTCCAAATACTCCCTGATCCTTTGATCAGACCATGGGGCTGCCATGGTAGTATATCCCATATGCAACTGAATATACACTGGAAGGGTATCCACTGTCCCAGGATCTGTGGGGGGACGTTCAGCCCATCCTGGTCTTCACAGCACAGAAATAACTGCGAGATGCTTCACCAAATGAAAATCTACTGGAGAGATCTGAGGAGCTAAAGTATTTAGGCAGATGCTCAGCTACACTCAAGCTGAACAGTGTTCAAGTTTCTGAGTCAGAGGAGCAGCAAGATAGGTATCATCCAATTTCGTTCCACTGTAGCACAACTCCAAGCTATATCACTAAAACACACCTGCTGACTCTTAAAGGAACCCAAACCTGTCCTCTGCTTCCTGAGAGGGTGGCAGTGGGTGTTTAAAAGCCTTTGAAACAACAATGAGGAGAGATAAGATGGAGTTTTTCCAAGATGCAGGTGATAGCATCTAATATCTCCCAGGTGTGGTGAGAGCTGGGTCTCTGGTGAGTGAATGCTCCAAGCGCTCCTGAGTTCTCAGAGGTCTCCAGGTATCCTTTCCTGCCATGTGAGTTCTTTTTCAAGGGGTCTCTTTATATTTCTGAAGATGCCTTCATTGCTACAGTCCTCCATGATCAGCAGATGCGGCTGCTGGAACTTCAGGAGTGCTTGCTGAGCTCCCTGCAACCTTCTGGAGAGGTATCCTTGCTGGGTGGAGCAGATCTGGGATCAGCTGTCTCCTCTGCAGATCCCTCCCATGGTGATTTGGCCCAGGGCAAAGCACCTCCAAGGGTTTCAGTCAGCAGGTGCTCACAGGCTCTTGCACTGCCATGTCTCTTGGGTGGACAGAAGTCTTGGCAGAGGTGCCCGGCAGCTGCAGCCAGGATTGCTGCGCTTCCAGGGCACTGCCAGCTGCTGGGGACAGCAGGAAGAAGGAGCAACAGCTGCCAGGCCCCAACCAGAGAATCCTGAAGAGGATGGGCTGAAGGTGCTGGTCAGTGATGGAGATGGGAACAGAGATTGGATGTCATCCCTCCACTTGCCCTCATCCTGATTTGAGCACAGACTGGGTCTTAATCCATAGAAACCAGTCCAGAAGCAAGTGAGGCTCATGGATCCAGGTGCTGGCTGTGTCGTGCTCTCCATCCCACCTTCTCCTTGCCCAGCATGGCTCCAGCCTTGTCCCAGCAAATATCCAGTCCAGCACCCATGTTACCACAAAGCTTCCACCTATCAGACCCCACAGCTGCCTGCCAGCATTACTCAGATGAGACGCACTGTCCTTCAGACACTCGTGTGGCACTTCGCGGCATCAGAAATGTCCATTTCTTACCTCCTCTTCCCCAGCACCCTATCCTGTCACCACCCTTGAGCTGGAACATCATCCCACACCTGCCACAGCCTGATTAAGCAACTAAGAGTTTAATCAGGGGTGGCATAGGAGCTCTCTCCCTTTCCCCATGCTGTCAGCTGGGCATGTTTCATGAGCATTGAGCACACTTGGAAAAGAAAATGGAACATTAGGGACTGTACCTAGGCAAGCTACCAACGGACTGAAGTCCAACCGGCACTTTGTGCTGCAGGTTGATCCCCAACGGACTGCACATGGATGAGGAAACATGGGGAAGGGGCATCTCTAAATATATTTAACAAAGCCAAACAGCTGCACATTATACATAGATGTATGCATGTATATATAAACATATATGTGTATACACACACGCACACACGGACATGCCAAGGAAGCACTTGGATTTACTTACATCATTGGGAATGGTGAGTTCATGAGTACTGGCCGGGGGACTGGCATCCAAACCTGGGCATATGCAAGGGAACATGGTTAGAGCTGGCAGAGGCAACGCGATGGAGCTCCGCTGCTTTCCCGCAACACTGCCAAGGCTGCGTCCTGCTCCAGGCTGGGAGGGGAAGGGGATCACACACTCCGGGACAAGGAGGAGGAAGACGGTTGCTACCTGACTCTGCTGGAGCTGGCTGTCACCTTCCCTGCATCCCACGAGTGTCTCGCTTCCCACCCTTCATCCTTTCCATTGTGAATGGCTTCAGAGGAGGGTGCAAGGTTCCAGCATCAACAAAGAGAAGTGGGCGAAACATCTTCCCACACAGCAGCAGAAAGCACGCCAGCTGGGACACCCACCAGCCCCACAGGAATGCTGTCCATGCACCCTCCAGCCCTCTCTGGATACAGCAGCATTGAGCTGCTGGCATGTGACAGCAGCTTTGTGCCCCAAAACCAGCGTCCCTGCAGGATCTGGTGGTACAAGTCCCCTGCAAGCCCCACAGACTCTCATGCTGAATTTGAACCAGACTGCTAAGACATGTAACCTAGCTAGACTCAGGATCAGCTGTCCTTCTTACTCCCAAGGGAAAGCAAGATAAACAGTATGGAGATTTAGATCCTGCTTCCCTCCAAAATTACAGAGCGAGGCGCGAAGGCAGCAATGTGCTTCCTCCCACCCTCCCCTGAGTCAGGGACAGCTCTCTCCTCCATGGTGGGAATGGCTTCAGCCAGCAAGATACTCTGTCAGTGCAGCTCCAGAAGTAAGAGGACACCATGCCATAGTGCTCCTAGGACAAAGCCTGCCTCTTCCATGGTTTCCCATATTAAATCACCTCATAGCAAAGCAGAGACTGTCCTATGTCAAATCTGCAAGAAAGAAGCTGTCTGGTGCCTGACAGGAATTTGCAGTAACTGGGGAAAAAAACCTCTAAGCCTTATGATATAAACCACCGATGAAAGCTTGTAAGAGCAGAAATGACTGCCAGATATGTATCCACAGAAAGAGAGTGGTTAAGGAGGTGCAGAATAGAGAAGCGCAAAGAGACTGGAACTGCAGGGCTCCTGCAAAACAAGACAGCAGCAGCACCCAATTCCTCACATATTTCCATGGAGGGCCTCAGCACAGAGGAAGAGGAGCTCTGGTTATCTCTGATATGCTCATGCATGATCTTACGATGTTAGGAAGTGAGGGTGATGAGGTTCTGGTACCAGTTGTCCAGAGAAGCTGTGGCTGTCCCATCCCTGGAAGTGTTCACAGCCAGGGTAGGTGGGATTTAGAACAACCTGATCTAGTGGAAGGTGTCCCTGCCCTGGCAGGGGGGTAGAACAAGCTAGGCTGTAAGGGTCTTTCCAGCCCAAACCATTCCATGACTATGTGACAATGTACTTCATGTGCTTTCCTGAATGCATCTTCCCAGACACGCATAGCTGACATTTGCCTGCAGGAGGCTTCCTCACCAGATTTTTCACTTAGAAGCACAGAGAGGAGAGGAATTGCAGGGAATGAGGATGCAGATCCTCCAGCTGGCATCCCTCTGCTATCATTTGCCCCTGCCAGGGGTACTAATGCCAAAATCTGCACAAAACATCTCCTGCCCAGACATTACATCACAGTCAATGCTCAATGCTGACTTTACAGCACACACTTCACCTGGACTGGCTGGTACACTGAGCCTCCTCACAGTTTGGGGGACGGTGGATTGCACCTATCACAGACATATCCCTCTGATTAGGGTGCCTCTCTCCCTCGGCCATGTTACAAGGCTCAGTTCAGCAGCAGCATGGCAGAAAATGTCTTCTGAAGGGAAGAGAGCATCAGTGAGGGCTCCCAGCAGCACTGAGGCATCCAGGGATCTTAGGGAATATAAACTAAGCTGCTTAGGCTCCTAAGCAGCATCCTCCATCCACCACTCAGATGACATGGATGATGCTGAAAGCCCTTGGGACACCTGGTGCCATGGTACTGCACCATCCCTGCCTCACATAGCCTTTGAGGAATGGCCACATTCTTCTCCGTGACCTGGAGACTGTTTATTTTATCACTCCAGATCCTCCTTCTCTGGTATGTGCAAGTAGTCCTTGAGGCTGTAACCTTGAGGGTGTCAGGGCAGGATTAATGCCTTGGGTGACTGCAAAGGGCAAAGGGGGCATGCAGAAAACATGGCTGCACAGGTCAGCGTCATAAAATCTGTATTTCTGCAGTTTTGTGCGGTCTATTTGCTCGGGCTACGCTTGCTTTCATAATAGGCTGCTGTCATCAAACCTTTGAGGCATGCATAGGATGGCTGTGCGTCCCAGGTCTGGTTCATCCTGCCTGTGAGCCTCCATGTCTTGGGATAGCTCCTTTATGCAATGGTAGGAAAAGAAAGACAAATCTCTTCCTCACAAACAGATGAATGTGGGACATCTGACAGCAAAATTTCTCCAAGGCTGCAGCCACACTTCGGCTCCTCAGGGTCCTGTCCCACTAAAACTGCAACTCACCCTGAATGGCTCGGAGCTGCATGTCATGGCTGTTCCCACCGGCACTGTTCTGTGGTTTCTGAGTAAAGTTTGTGCAAAATCAAATGAAGGAATAAGGGTGATGACTCTGGTATCTTCCTGGAACACAGACAACATTGAGGGAGACCTCACTGCACCTGAGGGGCAGCACAGACCTCTGCTCTCTGTGGCCGGGGACACAACCCGAGGGAACAGCATGAAGCTGTGCCAGGGGAAGGTCAGGCTGAATATCAGGGAAAGGTTCTTCCCCCAGAGGCTGCTGGGGCACTGGCCAGACTCCCCAGGGAATGGGCACGGCACCAAGGCTGCCAGAGCCCAAGGAGCATTTGAACAGTGCTCTCGGGCACATGTTGGGATTGTTGGGGTGTCTGTGCAAGGCCAAGGGTTGTACTCCATGATCCTTGTGGGTCTCTTCCAGCTCAGAATATTCTGTGGTTGTATGGCAGTTACACACAAATGTCACAGAGCCAGGTAATAAAGCCCAGGCACTTTTCCTTTGAGATGCTGCACCAAGGAGAAGAGTACTGCCCGATCTCTTCCTGCCCACCAAGACAATCCACTGTCTTCTCCATGAATACCATGATTCCTCTTGGAGCACAACAACGGCACAGTCCTATTTACGGAATACATTTCAGTCAAAGCCTGCTTACTTCCCTCTAGCTTTGTGTTTTACCTGATGACTGGCCCATCAGATTTTGAGCTTCTTCGGAGGAATGTAAGGGCAGCTTTTCTCCTGAAGAGCAAAGAAGAAACAGGTTTAATGCTTTTCCCTTCGAGGAGATAAGCAATGTCACTTCATCTAGGAAGCTCAAAATATGATGAACATACTGTCAGAAAAGTAATTTCCAAGCGGTACTTTAAGCACCTCCATCCCCTGTGCTCTATCTGCTTCCCAGGTGACCAGGAAAACGCCGGCCTTGAGGACAAGGCTCGGGCAGGGCTGGCTGCTGTCCCGTCAGCGCAGCCCCCTGCGGCCGTGACCCCTTCCCACCGCGGGAGCGCCATCCTGCCTGGCTCAGCACCGCTCCCGAGGCAGCAGCCCGGCCGGCCCCGAGCCGCTCCTGCCGGGAAGGCGCGGATGTCCTGCCGGAGGAGCTCGGACGTCCCGTCGGGAAAGCGTGGATGTCCCGCCAGAGTCTGGAGCGGCGCGGGGCAGAGGCTGCTGCCTCCTCCGTGCAGGGAGGGACGATGCTCACGGTTCTGCTGGGAAAGCCCAGGCTGAGAGCTCGCCCTTGAGCACCGTGATGCCCACAACATCCGTCAAACCTCTCCTTAACCTCTCCCCATGGATATTGCCACTTTTTACTCGCCTTGCTTATTTCCATTAAACAACGAGAGTTTAGAAAGAGAGAGAAACTCTACAGGTAAGAGAAGGATATCTTGAAAGGGCGTGGGTACGTACCAGGGAAAGCGGGGGTGGTCTGTCCAAGGGGAGTAAAGGGGGTTTGCTGCATAGCCAACTGGTGGAGCTTGGTCAACTGCTGAGGGGTAGGAGGGACATTAGAGCTAAGAAGGTTATTGTCATAGAGTACAACAAGTCATAGCGAAAAGCAAGAACAAAATTAAAACGGGCCGGGGGGTGGGGTGGGAAGGAAAACAAACTGAAAAACAGAAAAAAAAAAAACCCTAAAAAAAAAAAAACAAACCAGGAAGCCATGGTGAGACATGGCAAAAACATCAGCAGAAAGGACTTGGCCTGGGTATAGCGCAATAAAGCCTAAATCTTTGGCAGAAGTGCTTGGTCAGGGTCTGAAGTACAATACCAGCAAGAAGCCCATTCTTAGTCAGTTCAACTTCTCTGCCTCAGTGCAGGGCCAGCTGGTGGGCATCACAGCCAGCACCCAGGAACCCTCTTTGTGCCACCAGAGCCACATTGTCACTGCTTGTCCGCCACTTGTCCCCACAGCACACGTTCTTGTACTGTGCCTCCAATGGGAAGCCTCTGGGAGATGGATAAACTGTGTTTCTAAATGCCAGCCCTTTAGAAATATGGGGATTTATGGGCTTCAGTCATGACCAGTAGGTATTTCAGATCCTTGTATCCCTTGTTGTGCTGAGGAGGTTTCGCTGTCTATTTATGAAGTTTTATAGAGAGGTGTTTGTTTGGAATACATTTTGTGCTCAGTTTTACTGCTCCAAATTAAAAAAACAAACAAACAAACAAAAAACCCAAACGAAATCACCAAACAAACAAAAAACCAAAAAGGACAGGAAAAGAAAAGAAAACAAACCAAACTGGGCTGAAGTCTGGCAGTGAGCAGGAGGGAGACTCTTTACCACCTCCCACTTCTATATGTGCTCTGGGAGTTGTCAGCACAGTATCACCCCCCAGATTTAAACTGCTTCTTTTGCCCATCATCCCTTGCAATGGGGAGGCAGGAGTTATAGTTTCAATGTTTTGGAGGACAACAAGACTCAAACACCTCTTTGCTGCTGCAGCAGGACTGGGGATGGAGAGCAGGGAGGTCTGGCTGGCAGCAGTGAGGGGGAAATGCTGGGAAGAGCTGACCTGGGGGCCTGCACACACTGGGGGAGGCTGAAGGGAAGCAGCAGGAAGGAATAAAACACCTGAAAATCCCTGGACAGGTTACCTATGGGATCCCTGTCCTGCCTAGAGAGGCAAGAGGACACCCAGCCTCCACTGCCTCAGGGGAGAGGTCTCACCACTCCACAAAAAGAGGTGTCTGCACATCTCTCTGCTTATTTTGGCTGTCCTTGGCTTATTTTAGCCAAAGGTGTGATATGATGGGTTCCTGCCACAACACAGCTGTCTCAAAAAACCACTGGGCATGCCACTACTCCTGCAGGAAGCAGGGGCATCAGTATCTGCTGCTTTTTAACTTTAGAGCTATCCTATTTTCTGGAGCTGCACCCCATTTCTGGAATTCTTCATGACACCTGATCCTGCTGGCAGGACTCCAGATGAAATCTCTTTGCCCAGTGGGCTCCAGACGTGCCCTGGGAGAGGGGTCCTGCTTTGCCAAGTGGGGGAGACCAAAATCCTTTCCAACACTGACCTAGTAGACCTTCCAGACATAGTTCAGATAGTGCTATTTATGCAGCCTCTGCAATTAGAGCAATAAACAAGTCTAGGAGAGGAGAAGATGGCTGCATCCAGGTGCCATAGGAAAAGCTACTATGTCCATCTCTTCCAGCTCACCTTCCATGGTCAAGGGAGGGGATTGTCCCCCTCTGCTCTGGTGAGACTGTACCTGATGTACTGCGTCCAGCTCTGGGGTCTCCAGCAAAGGAAGGATATGGATCTGTTGGAGCACGTCCAGAGAAGGTCATGGAGATGATCCAAGGGGCTGAGGGGGTCTAACAGAGCTGGAGAAGGACTTTGGGCAAGGCCAAGGGCAAGGGCCCAGAGCTACAGGACAGGGGGGAATGTCTTCACACTGACAGAGGGCAGGGTTAGATGGGATTCTGGGAAGAAATCCTTCCCTGTGAGGGTGCTGAGTACCTGGCCCAGGGTGCCCAGAGCAGCTGTGGCTGCCCCTGGATCCCTGGAAGTGTCCAAGGCCAGGATGGACAGGGCTTGGAGCAGCCTGGGACAGTGGAAGGCATCTCTGCCCATGGCAGGGGTTTGGAGTGAGATGAGTTTTAAGGTTCCTTCCAACCCAGCCCTACCCACTCTCTGACTCTATGATCCTGCAGCTTTTTGGATGGCAGGCAGCTACCCATCACATCCCAGCCAGCCAGAAACACCCAGGTAGTGCTGAAGCCCCTTATGAGCCATAGCTTCCCCTGTCCTGGACTGTCCATAAGGGTGTCCAGGGGAAGCTATCATAGGATCATAGAGTCAGAGACTGGGTTGGGCTGGGTTGGAAGCAACCTTAAAACTCATCTCACTCCAAACCCCTGCCATGGGCAGAGACGCCTTCCACTGTCCCAGGCTGCTCCAAGCCCCATCCAATCTGGCCTTGGACACTTCCAGGGATCCAGGGGCAGCCACAGCTGCTCTGGGCACCCTGTGCCAGGTACTCAGCATCCTCACAGGGAAGGATTTCTTCCCAGAATCCCATCTAACCCTGCCCTCTGTCAGTGTGAAGACATTCCCCCCCCACTGTCCTGTAGCTCTGGGGCCCTTATCCAAAGTCCCTCTCCAGCTCTCTTGGACCCCCTTCAGCCCCTTGGAATATCAAGATAGGAGAACACACCAGGCATTCAAAATTCTGCCCACCTTGCAAAAGGCAGCCACTAAACACAGGCACCTAAAACATGTTGAAAATGCCCTAAAAGCACATTCTAGATTGGATTCTGCACTGAACATTATTTATAATGACCAATCATTGAAAGAACACCTTGAGAATAAGGATGGAGTCAGTAGCCCCTGTACCAACAGCTTTATTCAGGAAATTTGCTGGGAGTGGGGCAGAGTGCAGTCAGCAAATGTATTTTAATCCTGACAATCAGAGGAATATAGGAACAAGGAAAACACTAAGCTGTTGGCACCACTTGCAAAGAAAAACCGGGATAAAGACTGCATTGATCTACCCTAACTATACAGGTTATTTAGTTGCATTCTGCTTATGAATCAAAAGCAAAGAGTACATAATTAGGAATATTCCTTATCAACCACCACAGCAGGTTGTTCAGAATACACATGTACTGGTGTCACATGGAAAGCCAAAGCCTGGATTCCTCTAATTCCAGTGAAACTATTTCTCCTAGGATGAAAATCCAGCCTACAGCTCCCAAATGTTCCTATACGGGGCAGGCATTTGTGGGATCAAACAGCCTTGCCACCTTCTCAACCATGGAAAAAGTAATTCCATGATTTAGTACCCAATACACTCACTGGAAAAGGGAACGCTGAGCTGCACCAGCCCCTTCCCATGGCTGGGATGACTGGAGAAGGCTTTTCACCCACTGCCACATCCTCAGCCCCACTGCAGACCCCTGCCTCACAACTGGAGGGACCCTCTGCAATAGGACTCAATGGGTATTTCATCCCCTTGGAAACACATTTAGAAAGTTCCTGCCTCTTCGAAGAGCCATGACCAGCTCAGAAGCTGAGCTTCACTGCTTTCCTCAAAGAAATCCTTCAGACTGATTTTCTACTTCCCTTAGTAATTTCAGGTGCACACATTCCAGCTGTTGATCCCTATATGTCCTTCCACAAAAGTGCTTCCTGACCCCATACAGGCATGGGAGCCCAGGGAATCCCAGCATCAGCAAGCCTCAGTCAGAGCAGCTCAGAGCAGCTCCTCTCCCTGCACCAAGGAGCCCGAGGTGAAGTGGGGGCTCTCACCATGCTGCCCTGCCACCCACAGCAGTGAGACAGCCACCAAACCCAGGGTGACCACGTTGGTCTGGGGGTCCTCAGCAAGGGGAGATTCAGCATGAACACCTTCCCCATCCCTCTGGGAGACACGGTGGGGGATTTGTCCAATTTCCATGTCACCCAAAGGAGCACCCCCTCAAGAAAGGCACATCCCTGCCCAGGCTTCAAGCACAAAACTCCCAGAGTTCTGGCTTCTTCTCACCCCACCAAAGCACTCAGCAGCTAAATATGCCCTTGGCTTATCAACATTTTAAAGACAAGGGGAAAATAGAAGGGAAAGTATTGTTTTTTCTTTTCCTTTTTCTTGTTTTGATCATTTTGAGGCACAAAATGCACAGGTTTCTCTCAGAACAAAGGGATAGCACTGAAAAATGCAAACAATTTAGCATCAGGCCAAGTCCTCAGAAGTAATAAAGTTTAGTGCTAACAGGTTAAAAGGCTACTCGAGGTATTACAGATACTACACATGGCCAGTTACTTTGAAAATACACTATTAATATTATTGGCTAATATTAATATTATGTGAATTGACAGTAGCATGCAGGTGACAGAAAAGGATATAAGAAAAATTAGGGTAAAACTCACATCTGGGTGTGGAATAGCGTATTGTCCCTGAATTGTATAGGCCTGTAAAGGAAAAGCAAAGATGTTACAAGGGCTGGCAGGACATGAGGAGAGAACTCCATCCTCCTGTACCACATTAAATTCCCTGGGGCACCAAATCCTTGGGGCAGGAGGGAGATGTTCCACCTCCCATCCAACCTAGTGCATGCTGAGCTACCTGACTTCAAGGGCTCAGGCTCAGTTTGGCTTTTTCAGAAGGAAAGAAACAGCTCGTTATAGGTGCCAGCATTGCATGGAGCAGGAATATCAGGCTGTAGCTGGTCCTTGCTGTACAATAAATAAGGATCAGTTGCACGGGGGTTGAAAGTGGATGATATTTAGTGCCCCTCTCATAACCAGAACTACCTGTGTAGCAGGTGCACACTGACATCACTGCCCAAGCGTGATCCAAAAAAGCAAGCCAGCTCCGTGAGCCTCTCCGTATTTCCAGGTGCACAAGTCCCAGTGGATGCTTTACATCCACCCAGTATATTCCAGTGCTCTGCTGGGGCATTGGAAAGGCATGGAGGTGAGGGCTCTGCCTGCACTGTGATGCCTTTCACCAGCTGTAATTGATAAATCCATGCAAGTATCTGCCAGGCAAATGGGTTTGTGTCTTTTTCCCATCCTTTGTAGCAATTCTTTCTCTTTTTGTTTGTAAATAATCCCAAAATAAGCACCAATGTAGGTGAAGAGCCAGACACTAGAGAGCTCAATATTTAGGACTTAACCAGCTAGCAAAATGTATCTCACTTGTTGACACATTATTCAGATGATTCTGAAAGAAATGGCAAAAGAGATGGAGAACACTTTGAAAAGGGAGAGTAAAGATTGCCAAGAAAAATGAAAGGTAAAAACCTTGGAACTGCCTGAAAATTTGCTGCATTGTTTGCAAAGAGCAAAGTGCTTTGTGCGAAGGAAACCCCCAAAATCATGCAGGAGGAAAAGGGAAAATGGCTGTCTCAGTGCCCACCAGCATCCCAGCACAATGGGGACACGACAGAGGCTGAAGAGTTGCCCATCCTGGTGGTTTAATTTGGCCATTGTTTTTTGATTAGAAAAACTGAGTCAAAAAAGGTAATCAAGGGCGGGAAGGTGTCTTGGACAGATGCAACTCAAGTCTGACCTTTGAGGTCTGGTCCCTTTGGCAGCTGTCGTTGGCTGCTACATCACTCAGCCTGCTGAGCTCCTGGAGGCTGATCCCACCCCAAACACTTGTCACCACTCTCACCAGCTGTCTTCAGCCCACCCGCCCCAGGCCACCCCCGGGCAGAGTCAAAGGGCTCCCAACACTGGAAAGAGCTCTCACTTCAGAGACAGTTGCTTCTTCCCATGATGTTACTTCTGTCCAAGAAACCAACCATTCACAGCAGGAGAATTGCTGCCTCTATCTCACTCTCCCTTTTGAATAGACCAGGCAGCTGGACTCGAAGTTCTTTTCCAGGATGGCTACTCAGATGGAGTGACACACTCCTGATCCCAATGATTGACTAATTCAGCCTGAAATAGCCTGTGCTCGGGGCTTTGCTCCTGTTCTTAGTTTGTCCTTCTATTTATTATGGTTGGAAAGAAATGAAGTAACTTGTGTGGAGCTGCTCTGGGTGGCATAAGCTGTGGTTTTGTGGTGCTGGAGCTCTTGGGAAGGTACATCCCCTGCTGGATGTTATGCACCTCAGCAGGGTGGCATCTACAGGCAAGCCCTCAGTCATCAGGTGAGGTGAGGAGATAACGTGGAGAAAACAACAGTGCAAGTTCCCTCTTTAGAAACAGCCGTGTGTTCAGTTACTCGTTTCTGCTAATTTTTGTTTTCAGAATAACCTCCAGCTCACCTGCGTGATGGTTATCCCACAAAGGAAAAACCACTCCAAAGCTCACTGCTGGAAATAGCACGTGATGTCTGCAAGACTGCAGTGTCACTGGGGGTGACACAGTGTAGGCTCTGCTGGCAGGGGGAAGGAGTATCCCAAACCAGCTGAGCACCAGGGAGGGAGACATGGCTCTTCCATGGCAGCTGCCCTGAGCAGAGGAGTAGCTGTGACAAACCCTTCCTACCGTGGATCAATGACAGCTACATAAAGGTATTTTTAATTGAGCTGGAGGTGCCAGAGGGCAGTGACAGCCTCTTGTTCAACAATGCTTTTCTTATCCTCTCCTTCTCAACCACTGAGAAATACTGAACTTGGGTCTAGTGAAGTAAATTCCAGCCTTTCCTTTGTGTGCCACCCTGACACGGAGGTGACACCCTGTCTCCCCAGGATGGCTCTTCCCTTCTGCTCATTGTCCAGCATCCACCACAGGAGCTAAGCCAAGAGCTTTCAGTCCAGCTGCCGTGGCACACAATGGATGGGATGACATCATGCAAATCAGAAGGCAAGAAACCTGAGTGCACTAACGGGCAGCGGCTGGTGCTGCAGCAAAAGGCTCAGGTTGGCAGTGGAGGCTGCAAGCGGGTCGGCTCTTACCTGACCACCTGCAAAAATGACAGGGGTGGAGGCGGGCTTTGGGCGGTAGGGAATGGTGGCACCTTTTGGTGGGGACTAGGAAAAGGGATAAGGAGAGGGAGAGAGAACATTAGAACAGCTTTCCTGAAATGGTGGCAAAAAGAGTGTTAGAAAGCACTTAATGGAGCACGGCCCCCGGAGCCGCCACACCAACACCCACACCAGGCAACACCACATTTCTGAACAGGAGCACGGGAGAAAGAGAGGTTTCATGGGCAACAAGAACAAGCTGGGAACCGGGAGATCCCCTGCCAAGGCACGGGCCCCTAAACGGCCTCCTGGACCTTCACTGCCTCCCTCAGCTTTGCTCTGCTCTGCGCAAACCACATTGCCTGCTCTAGGCTCCAAAAACCCTCCTCAGCATGCCCTGAGGAGAGCCTCAAGCAGCAAGATGGGGAGGTACAGCCCATCTGAGCAACCCAGCACCATGCTCAAGCTCTTTGGCTGCCCTCATCTTCCTCACCACTGGAACAGGGTCACCTTCAGCCCTTGGTGTGGTCCATCGCCATCTGAGCTGCGATGTGGGTGCTGTGAGGCACCTGTGGTCCTGTCAGCTGAGAGGTGTCCCTGCACAAGGCAGGGGGCTAGAATTAGATGGCCTTGAAGGTCCCTTCCAACCCACACATTCTGTGATGGTCCCTTCCAACCCATGATTCTGTGGTCTTGCTACTCTCTGTTGGGTCCCTGGGTAGGTCTGAGCAGAAGTGCAGTGAATGAGTCACTGGTGTGATGTGCAGGAGATGTTCATCCAGGTTCTCCCTCCTGGTTTTCTCCTGAACAACTTACAGGCTATAGGAAACATGGAGGTTTCTAGGGATCAGGAGAGATTTCAGCTCTCCTCCTGCTTTCTAGCCACATTTAAACAACTCAGTGACTGCTATATAAGGACAGGCAATAGAAATTATTCTACCTCATGGAAGTTTTTTTTTTTTCTCTACATTCTTTGGATATCTACTTGTAGGCAAGCAGTATTATCTAAATCCTGCTGCTAAGAACCTGTCTGTGGGAAAGCTGATCAAAGTACATCTCCAACATCCCAAACCCACTCATTCTTTTATTGCATTACAAATCTTGGAGGGGACGAGCTGGGATTATCTGTTTAAGACTGAAAGGTGATATGGAATACCTCTGTGAGCTGTTAAAGCCAGTGCACTTTCCAGATTTCAGACTGCAAGAAGACTTGTGGGTTTTTCTTTCCCATGCCTGAGCTGTACAGAGGAGCAGCACATCTTGCTTTGTGAGAAAAACTTTTTAATACACCTGGCAAGCATCACATCAGGCTCATCTCTACTGCAGTCTGTGACCTGGAGTCATCGGATGCTGCAGTCTGTGACCTGATCATCCAAAATTCCTCTGGCAGCAGTGCAGCTGCCTGAGCATCACAGCCAGCAGGGATGCGTAATGTGGCTCTTGTCTATCCCTCCTGAGATGTGCTGCTGCCAAGCTGAAGATGCTTCCATCTGGCTTTGCATCACCTTCACCAAGCCCTGCCATCCCCATCTGAAGCTTTTCCAGTGGGAAATGTGCTCCTTCCTGAAAGGGCTGCGCAGCTAGGCAGAGGGCCTTACATCAGTCCTGCTTTGTCTCTCCCTGGGATGCACCAGGAGTGGAATGTGTCACCATCCTGTGTCCCAGGGACTTTCCTCCTGGAGCTTCTACCACCTGAGGCGGCAGGTGTGGATGTGAGGCATGTGGCTGAGGTCATCTCCAGCAACTGGTACACCAGCATTTCTCCATGGCAGAGATCTTCCACCTTTGCTTGCCAGCATTTATCCCAGAAAAGGGCACCCTGGACATATATCCATGTGCCCTACAGTCCCTGCTCTCCACCAGCCTTCCTCACTACCATTCCCACTGTGCCTCACTGGAACACAGCCTTGTGCTCCCAGTTCCATCTCTCCCAGTGCAGGGGATGCTCTAGCCTCCTCCTCCTGGTTGTGGTCCTTGTGAAGCAGAGACCAGGTTCTTGGAGCAGTGGCTGTTGCCCCTATATCCTTCTCACGGCACCCTGAGTGCTGCTGGGACGCCAGGCCAGGCTGTCCCAGCTTGCTGCCACCCCTCTGCCCTGAAGCCACCCTCTGCTCTGACACAAACCACCTCCTTTGGGGCACCCGACCAGACAGGCTTCCAGTGTGGGACTCTAGAAACTAAAGACAATGGTGGGGAAGAGACATGGGGTGTATATCCAGCAGAGATACCAGGAAATGAGAGTGGTCTGACAATGCGTGGTGAAGGGGACGAGAGAGACACACTCCACAGCTCCCAGCGCTTGTAGTGGGGCAAGCTGTGATTTTTTTTTCCGTATGTACTTTACCCCCTTTGTTACAGACTATACCTCCAGCATCACCACACAGATCTGTTTGACACACTGGATAATTGCGTCGGGTGTCCCCGAGATTGTCACTGCCCGCTCCGTGGAGTTGGGCAGCATGTCCCCCGCCACTTGGACCTGAGCACCTGTGGACTGGAGACAGAAAAAGAAAGGAAGGAGAAATCCCACAGCTGAACGCCTTCACTCAGAGCCAGCTCCAGCTCCAACACCATGCACCTCCCGAGGGCCCGGCATGTGGCACCCCGTGCCTACATCAGCCGCGCCATCCTGGGAAGCAACATGATGTATGATGCAGCACAAGGATCCCCTTTTCCAAGGTAGCTCCCCCTTGGCCGCAGATCAGCTCTGAGGAGCTGCACTGAGGTGCAATAATGAAACGGAATCTGCCTCACCTCTCGGATTTCCTTGATCTTGGAGCCCCCCTTGCCGATGAGGGAGCCGCACTGGCTTGCCGGCACCACCAGCCGCAGTGTCACCGGAGGTTTGCTGGTAGCAGTGCTGTTGCTCATGGAGTTGGTTATGTCCTTGGGAAGGAAAAGTGCAGCACGTCAGCCCTTGGTACCTGACCAGAGCAACCTCCAGTGTCCAGGTGGCACATCTATGCACGTTGTAGTCAGGTGACTAAAGTGTTCCCTCTTGAACACTTCCAGGGATGGTGACCATCACCGCCCAGAGCAGCCTGTTCCCAGGCCTGACCAACTTTCCAGTGAAGAAATCTTCCCTAATATCCAACCCAAAACTGAGGTCATTTCCTCTGATCCAGTCACCTGTTACCTGGGAGAAAAGACCAACCCCTAAATGGCTACACTCTCCTTCCAAGCAGTTGTAGAGGGTGAGAAGGTCCCCCCCTGAGCCTCTTTTTCTCCAGGCTGAGTGCCCCAGCTCCCTGAGCTGCTCCCCATCAGACTTGTGCTCCAGTTGCACCCTAGTTAGAGATGTGTGAAATGTTCTGTGGTGAGGCCGTGTCCCAGGTAGGCAAATCCAACCAGGCACTGCTCTCCCAGTCATGACCTGGCTCACATTTCTTACCTCCTCAAATTTGTAGGCGATCATGGCAAAAGCCTTGAAGATGGCATCAGTGGGGCCAGTGATGGTCACAATCCGCTCAGGGCAGTTCCCCTCTGAGATGTTGATCCTTGCCCCGCTCTGGAAAGAGAAGAGTCCTAGAATAGCTACAGCCAAGCAATCAGGTTGGGTCCTCTCTCAGTCTGACACCTGTGCCAGCCTCATAGCATTCCAGCTAACCTTCCAAACTCCCACCCCTCCTCTGCAGTGATTTCAGCCCTGCCTTATCCCAGCCCTTCGAAAGCATTTCCAATGTTTTATTGCAAAGCAAACCCATGGCATTGAGGTAAGACCAGCTCATGGGGTCATTGCCTGTGAAGAGTTTTACTCACTGTCCTGACAAATCCCTGGGAGCTGCAGGTACAAAGATCTTGGACAAACTCAAAGCATCTTACAAGTGACGTAATTTCAACGTTTCATTAAATACTTGACTCTGGAAAATGTGACAGGAGTTTGAGTGTGAAGGGAAAAAACTGGTCCAAAGAACTCTGGGAACAGCTGGCTTGCTTGTCCTGACCTTGGGAATTACTGCACGTATTACACAGGGCAATGTGCAGCTATGATCACTCTGCACTCCTTTCCTCCTATAAATCATCCACAGAGCAGGCTGCTCACCTCCTCACGCATCTTCTTCACGGTCTCTCCTTTCTGAAACAAGAGGGAAAACCAAGCCATTACTGAAAATTCACAACTTCTACCTTTAAAACAATCCTACCAAAAATGCATCTCCCTAATACATGCCAATGTGTAGCCAAAAACATGGGAACTGTGATGCCTAGTCCTGCATCCCCACATGATGGTCAGCTGAAGAGCTGAGCATGTAAATCATCAAATATATACATACAAATTCACAACTGTGAATCTTCCCAGAGTTGGACATGCTGATGGAAAAATAAGGCACAAGCCTACAGGGAAAACAAGTTCATGCTGCAAATCTTTGCCACTATAAACCTTTCTTTTAAAATCACCCCAAAAAAAAAACCCAAATCCTGTATAGCCAGGACTTTCCAAAACACTGTGGAAACACCAGAGCAACTCAGGAAGCTTTTATGCACATGGTAAATGAAGTCCTCTGGCCTCAGAGACAGGGGTTATAGAATTACTTAAAATAGAATTCAAATCTATCTGTGTGACATTTTTAGTATCTCTTAATGAAGTTATTTGATGAAAACACCAGAGCAACATGACTGTAAACTCCCAGTCATGAGCCAGTGAAGCAGCTGGAAACAGTTTGGTGATGGGTGAGGTTTTTAGGGGAAAATTGTCTTTTGACCCCTTTGTGGGTCTCTCCTCATTTCTGGCTCACAAATGCAGCAACTAGGTCAGGCACCCAACACTTTCCAGGACATCACAGGGAAGAGGCGACTATGGCATCTGCCATACCACAGGTGCAGGAACAGCATCAAAGGTACATTAAAAAGCATCCTTACCTTCCCAATGATGCTTCCAACTTCCTACACAGAGAAAAAGCCAAAACCAGAGGAACTGCCATTAGAAAACATGATGAGAATCCAACCCAACCCCATAATGAAGTGAAGACCTGGTGGACATTGTCCCCAGCAGAGGGACAAGGTTGAGGGGCAGGAAGGAGAGGGAGCAGGAGTACCATGCCACCCTCCCCACCGGCAGGAGAGCTATTCCCGGGGCTGGGACAGCTGGACAGAGCTGTGTGTGGGGCTGGGCAGGTGGGAGAGGGACCTGTGAGGACACCCCCACTGTGGGAACCCCTTACCTTGCCATGCATCAGCAGCCGGATGGTGAGGGTGACGTTGAGGCCGCCTTCAGAGACCTTGGACTCCATTTCCTACCAGGGGACGGGAGACGTGCGTTAGCTGGGAGAGCAGCCCCGGCACAGGCAGCACCTTGGCAGGATCACCTGGGGACACAGTGGGGAAGGCTTGCTCTCAGAACAAGTTCCTCGGGGTGGGACAGACCCCACAGAAGGTAAAAAACAACTCTGGACCAGGGCATCAGAGGAGCAGCCTGGCCAAGGGCCAGCGGCTGCAGCGGGGCTTTAAAGCACCCACAGCACTTATTTAGCAAACTAAAGTTCACCATTTCCAGCACAAAGAAAACCACAAGGCACTTTTTCAGTGGTCAGGAATTGTCTGTCTGACTCCAGGAGCACTGAATGGAAAAGACAGAACTGGCATCCTGGTTGCCACACATCCTGACCTAAGAGCTCCCCAGCTGGGCAGACTGTGGACCACATCACTTCCAGTCACTCATGTCACACATATGTAAGGAAACCGTAAGGAAACCGTGCTGTTTTCCTTTTCCATTCTCTCTCTTTCCTCCTCTGCCCTCTAGAGGGTCGCTGATGTTTTGAAGTCAATGGGGGGAAATAAATAAAAACCGCAGAATGGCAACAAATGGCTCCCCATCCCTGGCAGTGTCCAAAGCCAGGTTGGACAGGGCTTGGAGCAACCTGGGACAGTGGAAGCTCAAAGATGAGCTTTAAGGTCCTTTCCAACAGAAACCATCTGGTTCTACATCAAGCCAAAAGGTGCTTTGAAGGGTGGGGAGAAGGAGAATATTTCTGAGGAAAAAAGGCGAGGACATTGGAGACTAAAATGACAGGAATGGGCTGAGACACTGTAACAGAACAGGCAAGATCAGGAATTTTCAAGACTGAGCCTACTGTAAGGTGTACAATGAAGGAAAAGAGTAACTAGCTGTGTTGGTTAACCTCAGGCTGACTCCTGCATGGGAGGCAGTACCAAAAAGGGTCAATAAGCTGACAGGTGGAGGTCGGCATTTCTGGTGCTCACAATGTGCCGGAGACAAACTCTTGCACTGGAGACATCACAGAATCATAAAATGGTTTGGGTTGGAAGGGAACTTAAGGTATTCCATTCCACTCCCCTACCATGGGCAGGGACTCCCTCTACTATCCCAGGCGTCCAACCTGGCCTTGGACACTTCCAGGAATACAGGTTCTCTGGGCACCCTGTGCCAGGGCCTCCCCACCCTCACAGGGAAGAATTTCTTCCTAAAATCTCATCTAATCCTCCCTTCTTTCAGTCTAAAGCGATTCCCCCATGTCCTGTGGCAGGGAGGGTGTTTGCCATCCCCAGCTCCACATCCCTTGCAGGAGGAACCCTGCATCAGGCTGTTACGTAAATGCTTCCAATTGATTGAAAAAGTGGGTCATGTGTTAGGCAAATGCTCCTGGCTTTAAGATTTATCAGCATTATTAAATTAAACACGCTTCATGCTCCAGTGAGCAGGAAAGCTATATTGGCCTTTTCTTAATCATACTAGTGAAAGGTAAGTGTTTTATAGGGGGCCCATGAGCTCAATGGAAGGCATGGCAACAATAGATCCAAAGCATTTACTCTGGGCACAGGCCTCCCCCAACAGCCCTCATTCTTCATGGACAAAGAGCTGGGAAAAATTATCCCCCAGAATGCCATTTTGAGCATTTTAGAGCATTCCCTGCCTGGAGAGAGAACAATCTCAGCCCCTTCCTCTTCACCATCGTGTTCTGCCTTGTCCACCACAGCTTTGAAATGGCTCCTTTGTCCACTCACTTGAAAGCCCTGAGGACACCATTACATGCGGCCCAATGCACAGAGTAGATACTGAGCCCTGCTCCAGCCCAGTGCGAAGCAGGTACAGCCCCACAGAGGTCAAAGACATGGAATTAGGACACAGAAGTGTAAAGCTAGGCCCCAAAAGGGAAGTTGCACAGTGAGTCAAGCCAGGCTCTGCCAAGCATCACACCTGGGCAACCACAGGTGGAGGACTGGAGCATCCCCCTGCCATGCATGGGGAGCAGCCAAAAGGTTTTGCACCACAGCAAGGGGAGATCTGTCCCAAAGCTGGACAATGCCCTTCCAAAGGATGATCCCATTCCACAAGAAATAGGCCTGTTAATTGCAGCTGCCTTTGTAAACGTGCCTGAAGGAGACATCACCAGTTCTCAGAGCAATCTGGTTCTTCCTTGGTTCAAATATATTACATTCTGGGAAATTTCCTTAATCTATCAGGAATCCCCTATGCCTGAAAAAGCAACTCAGGAATCAGCGATCAAGGAATTGGAAGGAAATGAAAGCCCAGAACAGCAGGAAGACTCCTTTTCCCCAGATGCAAACGTACACAACTCCAATTTTTCTCTTTTCCCATTTTTTAGAGGTTGGAGCAATTGCCTCAGTTGGCGCTCTTGAGTTTATGCTTGCTGATAACTCACAAATACCAACAGATCCCTACAATTTGAGCAATTCCCTTCCAATTAGGGGAACTCTGAACACTGTGTATCCTGTGTATCGAATTAATTTAATAACACAATCATCTCCCATACAGGAGGAGGCACATGAAGCAGAACAGGGGGAGGGAAATGGAGCTCTGGGCTGGATGTTGCTCTCCAGCCTAGCTTCCATACAGGAGCTGGGAAAGCAGATGTTGGGAATCATGCCTCTGATATCCTATCAGGGATGCTATCCCTGATGGCAGGAGGCTCAGCTGAGCTTGGGCAGAGCCCAAATCCCTGCAGGGGCTGGGGGACATTGTTAACTCTGTGCTTGCTAAAGCCAGCACCTGCTATGCATTCCTAGGGCTCGCTAGGTGCACAAGCCCCATGCAGACAAACTTTGCTTCCTAGAATTGTTTTAAGGGGCTATAGCAGTATTTTGTTCAAGCTGTCCAAAAACAAGCAGAGAGGACAACTCTGTGCAACGATGCCCCACTGGCATAACTCCCCTCCTCCCTGAAATGTTTGGGTGGAAAGTTCACAGGCACCATCAATCCAATGCAAAGGAGAAAGTCTCCATCACCCCCCCACACCCATCACAGGGCCTCCAGAAAATCCCACTTTCTTGTAGGGGTATTACAGAAACACAAAATGGTTTGGGTTGGAAGGGACCTTGGACAGCCAGAGCTTCTCCTGGTCAGTGCAGGCTGATAAAATCCAACACCTCAGACCCCTGCTGACCACAAGCCCTTGATGATGTGTGCAGGTAAGAGAGGGGTGGGAAAGGCCTTGGTCTGTGCAATCCCTGCTGTGCCACCTTCCCGAAGGACCACACCCAAAACCCCTTGGCATCCTCCAGCACACTGCAATATCCTGCAGTCAGGATTTCAAATAGGGGTGGCAGAATTTAGTGTTGGGAATTAACGTCTGGGACAGAACGTCCAACACTCAAGACAGCATTTTCCTCTGTGAGGGAGGAAATGTTTAAATACCTCTGACTTCTCCATATTGTCTTCACAAAACTCAGACCAGGGTTTTCTGACCTTTGGAAGATGATGGGTGTGTTAAAAGCAGAGAAAAGCCAGAGAGGCCAGGAAAGAGGATGTTTTTCTGACATTTTAGGCTTTCTAGCCTGTTTTCTCAAGGAGAGCCGCCTGTCCATCTGCGTAAGCAGGAGCTTTCTCCCCACTCATCTCCCGCTGACTTGATCTTGCCATTACGACCTAATCCGGCAATTTCCAGCGTGATGTTTTAGTGGCTGGGAAGCTCGGCAATGCAGCCAGCTCGGGATTATGACGACAGTGCAGTCTGGCCAGGTCAAGACAGGGCTGAAAGGAGGAAAAACCTTAAACCACATGTAAATTCATCAGCCACCAACGAGCTTCGGCTGTTGGGAGTTGAAGCTGTGAGAGGGCAGTAGCACCATCTACACGAAAGACACCAAAAGCCATTTGGGAACAAAGCTGCAGTTCCAGCTGCTGCCATTTTCCATAGCTGTAGTCATTTTGGTTGACCTTTCCTCCTCTCCACTCTCCAGCTTTGTGGGAATATTTTACCAAAAAAGATGCCCTGTGCCCTCCTAGTACGTCAGCCAGAGGATATCCATGCCTCTCCCCTGCCTGTGATCATTAAAAGCAGCACAGAAGACTAATGTCCTGCTCTGGCCCTCACAGCAGGCATCTCTGGAGGCTTCTTTCTCAGTTGCCTGCTCCCATTTCCCTGCTCCCCTCCAGCTGAGATCACAGCCTGACAGAATAATTTGCGTTGGAAAAGACTTCTATGAACACTGAGTCCAACTGTTTCCCCAGCACTGTCAAAGTAAAACCTGTCCCCAGGTGCCACATCCATGTGCCTTTTTAGCAGTTCCTGGGATGGGGACTCCACCACTGCCCTGGACAGCCTGTGCCTGACTAGCCTTTCCATGAAGAAATCTTTCCTAATATCCAATCTAAACCTCCTGGGGCACATCCTGAAGCCATTTCCTCTTGTTCTGAATGTCTGCGTTGATACATTGACGAAGAGCTCCAGTGCAGTCACACTGCAGTGGGCACAGCCACATCACAGCCAAACACCCACCCTCCCCTCCAGGAAATTCCCAGCTGATTTCCTGGTTTCCTCCTTTATCTGGTAAACCCCACTTAAGGGCTCAGGCATTAGCCTCCACCAAAGCGAGCTCAGTCCAGGGAGAACGACTAGTTTTGTTGTGATGGCAGAAGAACAGTGGCGATCTTTTGCGTCAAGATCACTGGATGAAACTGTAGCCTTTCCCTGACAACCTCCCCAGGATGATGGTCTGGAACACCATTTTCCCCACTGCAACAGGACAGCAGGATGAGAGTACCTATCTCTGTGCCCTGATGAATTTGTGGGTTTGTATTAATTGGAGGTTTAGAGGAAAATCAGGTACTCGAGAGATGTATCTGCACAGATCTGCAGGACGCAGAATTCTCATTCACTCACACAAGCTGCTGCAGTGCTGCAAGCAGAGGTCAGACACGGATGAGTGAGGGAAATGCAATGTAGTAGCAGCAGGATGTTAGATGTCCTTAGGAAAAATAGAAAACCTTGTTTGGGCGTTTTTCAGGGCTTTTTGATTTTAAGACCCTGAGCAA